GCGACTCACATACAATAACAACAACAGCTGTAGCAACAGTTGTATATTGTGGGATGAAATGTTTACTCTTATGAATTTCTGTAGGCTTCTGCAGTAAGTGTGCTCTTGTATTTGGGTTCAGTTCCTCAGAGTGTGTGGAGGCTGAACACAGACACCCCTCAGGAAGCTCAGCAGAACTTGTCATTTGGAGCTGCAGATCGGTGGTGGGAACAGACAGATCTGACCAAACTTCTGCTGTCTTCCAACAAACTCCAGAGCCTCTCTGAAGACGTCAAACTCCTCTCTGCCTTGGTTGTCCTGGACGTAGGTTTTTGCACAACTCATTTTGTTTGAGAATGTTTTAAACCCTGCATGTCAACTCTTTTTATTCTATTCTTTAGCAAAGAAATATGAATGGCATGGGTGGCTACTTTCCAATGGTTAAATAAATGTAGCTACTTCTATAAACCACACATTACTATTACATTGTTATATTTTATTTTATTAAATACAGCTTCCACAATATTCATATTTAATTTTTAGAAAAAACTTATTATAAATGTTACTTGGAATTTTTTTTATAATGTCTTAGTATTTTAATTTCCATGTTTGTGGGTCTAAATTTTGTTTATATTGTAGCTGCTTTCTGTGTTGCCTTTTTCCAGATCCATGACAATCAACTAAGCTCACTGCCAGATTCTATTGGAGATCTAGAGCAACTACAGAAGCTCATATTGAGGTACCGATGGGGGCAACACTATGTATGGAGCAATAAATCTACCTATTTTGAGTGTAAAACTTGTGTCATAATACCTGGTCCTCTCTGCAGTCTCAATAAACTGACAGAATTGCCTTCGGGTCTTTGGAGACTTACAAACCTGCGATGTCTTCATCTGCAACAGAATCTGATTGAACAGATTCCCCAGGATTTGGGGCAGCTGGTTAATTTAGATGACCTTGTAAGTGTCTGAGATCTTGTCTTGACCAGCAACAAACTCTTAACTTTCCAACAGCATTATAAAAGCCTTGATCCTGAGATAGTAGTTATATCTTTCATTTAACATATACGCACTAGCGGTCAAAAATTTGGGGTCAGTAAGATTTTGTAATGTTTTTGAAAGAAGTCACTTATATTTTGATCTGTAGTGTACTGTACATCTGTGTGAAATAATCCACGGCTGTATGAGGATCATTTGTTAAATCTTAGGAATGAAAGATGTTGCTGTGATTTCAAGATGCTGAATATGTGTACTTAAGTATTCCCATTATTTAGTTGTTTCCTACTCTTCCCTCTTAAAGGATCTCTCCAACAATCATCTAATGGACATTCCAGAAAGCCTGGCGAACCTGACAAATCTTGTCAAACTGAATTTGTCCTGCAACAAGCTCAAGAGTCTCCCTCCTGCCATCAGTCAAATGAAAAGTATGTTTTGACAGTAGCAAGTGCGAATGTGAATCATGTTTATCGATTAACCTGTGAACTCATCCATCTTCTGTTAACCCTCACAGACCTGAGAATGCTGGACTGTTCCCGGAATCAGCTGGAGAGCATTCCTCCTGTCCTGGCTCAGATGGAGTCCCTCGAGCAGCTTTACTTAAGACACAACAAGTTACACTTCCTTCCCGAACTGCCCTGCTCAACACTCAAGGTAAACCACAACCACTGATGTGGTAGAATAAGTTATGATTGTCTTAAGAAGGCTAACAAGAGGCTGTTTATATATATTAAGGAACTCCACTGTGGGAACAACCAGATTGAGATATTGAAGGCAGACCATTTGAAGCATTTGAGTGCTCTGAGTTTCTTGGAGCTCCGAGATAACAAGGTGAAGAGCCTTCCGGAAGAAATAACCCTACTGCAAGGCCTGGAGCGCCTGGATCTTACTAACAATGACATCAGCAGGTGCTGGGAATATGTTATTGTATGTATACTGTAAAATATAGTGCTGTGTTTTGCGGCATGTTCCACTGGGGAACAGAATTATGGACTATCATTCCTTTTTATAACTCAGTAAACGGAAAACACTGTACCCGTAAGAGTGGCAGTTTTAAAGTGATGTCTCTCCCAAAAATGAAAATTGTTATTTATTCTGCTCATTTCATTCCAAAACCAAATGACCTTCTATATTCGGAACCTAAAAAATAAGGTATTTTGAATATTTTTTAAACAAACTGGTTCCATAATATTCATATAAATCCCATAATCGTTCAACGACCAGAAACAATGCAGCAAAATGAAAGTCAGTGGTCATTAAAGTGATTTGGTTACCAGCATTCTTCAAAATATCTTCTGTTGTGTTCTACAGAAAAAAGGAAATCCTAATAAGCCTCTCTTTTCTTTTTTTGTCAAACAGTCTGCCGTGTGGACTTGGCACATTACCCAAGCTGAAGTCTTTGACTTTGGAGGGCAATCCACTGAGGGGAATCCGCAGAGATGTCCTGACTGTGAGTATTCAACATATCACAGCTGTAAAAGGGCTTTTCCTGTCTTCATTTTGTTCTTAGTAATCTGGATCAGAAAGTCTTATATAACAATATATTCTATGCAGAAAGGCACTGTTGAACTCCTGAAATATCTCAGAAGTCGTGTACAAGGTATGTCTATATAATCATGTAAAGATTTAGTATGGATTTTCAGCCTCATTTATTATTAAAAGGACTAAGGATGTTCTCTTTTGTAACATCATTGCGGGTTTTGTCTTGTTTGAAATGTAGAGCAACCAGATGGGGGCTCGAAAGAAGAGCCAAAAACAGCAATGACCCTCCCAAGCCAAGCTAAAATCAATGTGCATGCCATCAAAACTCTCAAAACACTAGACTACAGGTAACGAAAAATCCTCCCAAGTGACTTAGCAGGATTTTGTGTATTTAACAGTAAAAACCTGCCATTTTAATTAGTGAGAAACATGAGGCATCCATCCCAGACGAGGTGTTTGATGCAGTTGACGACAGTCCTGTGGCCAACGTAAACTTCAGCAAAAATCAGCTGACGGCAGTTCCATCCAGGTAATACATATGGCCATTCCATCTCATTAGAAGCGTTTCAAAGAGTTACTGAACACTTACTATTCTCTTATTTCCTGCAGAATTTTGCAGTTAAAGGACACCCTAGCAGACATTAATCTTGGCTTTAACAAGCTAACAAGCATTCCGGTGGACTTTTCCATGTTTAAACAACTGGTACATATAGATCTCAGGTAATCCTTAACTTAATTTATGTCCTTTTAAGGCTCCAATTTAAAGATCTTATTTTGCTAATTCGGTGGTTCACAGTTGTTTTTGCCACATCCTCTCAAAATGTTACTCCTTTAGATAGGGTGCTATTTTTAAGATGGCACAGAGGGTAAAAAACTATAGTAATTGTATAGAAGATGGAAATTTTGCAAAGAATAATGATAAATGTCACTTCAAAGCAAAAAAATACTTAATGAATATGATTTAAATAAATAAGAGCTCTGAGGTCACTTAAGTGTGACATATTACCATAATTTACCACCATAAAGTGCTCTGAACTAATGCCCTTTTTAATTTTTTTTATTAGAAACAATCTATTGATCTCACTGCCAATGCAGTTGGAAGGCTTAACCAAGCTGCGGAGTGCTAGGGTGCTATTTTTAAGATGGCACAGAGGGTAAAAAACTATAGTAATTGTATAGAAGATGGAAATTTTGCAAAGAAAAAAAGTACTATCTGGGTTTTTAAACGAGTAATCTTTTTTTTTCAGATATTTTGTGCTCTGATAAATGTCACTTCAAAGCAAAAAAATACTTAATGAATATGATTTAAATAAATAAGAGCTCTGAGGTCACTTAAGTGTGACATATTACCATAATTTACCAACATAAAGTGCTCTGAACTAATGCCCTTTTTAATTTTTTTTATTAGAAACAATCTATTGATCTCACTGCCAATGCAGTTGGAAGGCTTAACCAAGCTGCGGAGTGTTATTTTGTCTTTTAATAGGTAGGTTCTACCATTTTCACCCTCACCCCACCATGTAAAATGAACAAATACTGTATATCAAATCAGTTTGACAAAATAAAAATAATATCACTGTTTTTGGTGTTTTTTGTGGTCTGAATAGTTATTTACATTTCTCTTTAGGTTCAAGTCATTCCCAGAAGTGCTGTACCGCATCTCATCCCTTGAGACCATTTTAATCAGTAACAATCAAGTTGGAGGCATTGATCCAGTCCAAATGAAGACCCTAAATAATCTATCTACTCTGGATCTGTCCAACAATGATATAATGCAAGTGCCACCAGAACTTGGCAACTGTACCAGTCTGAGGTGAGTGTCATTTTCCTTCTGATTCTAGCAAACTGTGGACTTTAGTATGTAGACTCCACATTTGACCTTTTTTTTTTTAATGAAAATGAGGCAGCGAGAACAAACGTGCAGGCTATTCTACAGAAAATCTGGACAAAAACTGAATACTATTACAAAGGTCTTGAGCTTGTTAGTTAAGTATGATCTTATGATTCATCCTATATCTTTAGGGCTCTAATGCTCGATGGGAATCCTTTCCGTAATCCAAGAGCTGCCATCCTCAGTAAAGGAACAGATGCTGTCCTTGAGTATCTCCGAAGTCGTATTCCAACATAATCTTCACGTTTAATGTAACTTTAACCATCATTGATAAACGATCAATTCTTGTGCCATGACACTTTATTTGCACTCCCTGACAGTATAAAACAAGAAGACACAATAATAAATCATCTCCTGCCACTTGTTTTAATTCATCTTACCTGTCACTCTACCCTTAAAAATGGCATTGTAAAGTCTTTTATAAACAAACCTTTGGCATGCGTTGTAATGAAAGACTTTGTCAACCAAATGAACCAACAAATGTTGTTTGTGTTGAAGTTTTACATTTTATAATTGCTTTTCAGTGTAAATGTTTATATTTTCCAATATAATGAAAGCACTAGTAATAAATTGTGAAAATAAAGCCTTTTTTATCGTCTATAAAGGACCACAGAATGACCAGTAGTAACAATAGTGACATTTTTATTATTTGTACAATAAAGATACATTATTCAAAACACCTCTTAGATACTGAAAAAAATCTGTACTCCAAAGCCGAAAATGGCTCCAATATTTGCTGAACAGCATTGGACTTTCTTCTCCTTTTTATACAGGTTTGTTATTTAAATTTTTTTTAACTAAAATTTATTTGAAGTATGTACATATATCATCTGCAAAATGCATTCTAGACACAGAATATATGTCATCAATTACATATTTGCGGTAATACAGAAAAAAATTGGAAGGAGTAAACTTGCATGTGCAAATAAATGCTATGATAAATTGTCACTAATTCTTTTGAACTAAATTGAATAATTTCTTCTAGATATAATTACTTTTTGCACAAAAATGAAACGGCATTCAAGTTCAGTAAGTCTTAATACTGCAGAAAGCTTTAAGTACATTCACAATCTATTGGAATAAATTATTTAAATGTCTCCATTCATAGTTATTTACATCAATACTGCAATTAGACTGAATAGTACCATATATTACCTTTTATATTCAATAGGTCTTTAAACACATACAAAAATGACCATTTGGATATTCATATACATATATATGTTTATGACACAAATTCACAGTTACTTTAGAAAGAATTGTACATATTTGTTTCTAGTGTTTCCTTCCTTCACAATCTAACTCTCTGTCCATACATTGGATTTGTTCTTTATAAAATTTAACAATTTGAGCATAGCTAATTATATCAATATATTAGAAACCATTATTTGAAAACATTTAGTAAAAATAATCATTATCAAATGTTCTTTCACAATAGTATTTGAACAATTAATTGCATCATCCATATATTTCTCTGAAGCTAAATGCAGTGGATGTTGTGTCGGGGTCTTTCAGAGTGCATTTCGGCTCGAAACTCCTTCTAAATGCTACATTTTTAGCAACATTTGAAACATGCCCAGGGTTTTTTTTGTTTCATTTTGTTTTTTTTGAGGGATATTATGGCATGTTTGTCACAATGACGAATTAAAAAAAAAAAAAAAAAGGCCAAAAGATATGTAAAACAATGGTTATGTAAAAATGCTTTGTCCAAAACACATTGACCCCTAATAAGCATCCTAATAAAACAAGTTTAAGAGTGAAAGCATGCTCTAATCAGTAAAGCCTTACATGTGTACACTGTATCTAGTCCGGTTTATTATGACAGGAATTCCCTTTGTTATTCCGTTAAAAAAATATTTAAAAACCTTAAAGCAGCATAACAACAACAAAGCAACTGGAATTAAGCTTTTTTGCCTTTTTTCCTCACTTAAACTGTAGTATGTGATATGAAAGTACATTTTTATATAGAAAACTGTGTTGCCAATAAACTGCCACATGTGTAAGAATTTTCCTGGCAGCCAACAAAGGTACGTGAGAATTAAAAAAAAACAAACAAACATGGAAATGTACATTCACATTACTTAGCAAATTAACAAAACCCACCCTGATCTGGGGCTAGGAAAAACCCATGAATACCAATAGAGGGTGCTGCAGGAAAACCACACAAATGGAATAAATATTGCTTAGGGATTCATTTCTGTCATTTGATTTGTGCAAATACAGAAGGTTAGGGTTTATCAAGATTAAAAGGGGACTTTTTCGATTTCCCTAAATTGTTGTTTTCGTGAGAAGGATGTCTCTTCTAAGTTGTTACAAAAACTCATCGACGTGTTAGAAAATCATCAATGTGTCTTTCATTCACATTCTACGCTCTCAACACATTTGAGTTGTAAATGTATATATTTACACAAGGCATTTACAAAGTTGAGGCAGTGTTATGGTGGGTAAATGTCCTTAAAAGCAGATGTGCTTTCATGCTCCAAGATTAAACCGAAAAGCTGCTAGGAAAAATAGGTACAAAATAATACGCCATATAAATAAGCAGGAAAAAATGCACCCACTTACAGCCACAGGCTGAGATAAAGAAGAATATCAGCAACATCAACGAAAGATTTCAACCAATGTATGTTTGTGTAGAATGTGTGAGCCATATGTAACGTTATTATATATGTCCTCTAATGTACATTTGGCACTGGGATTTGCCATTGGTCCAGCAATTGGCAAAATTGTTCCTAGATAAAAAGAAGATGTACAAGTTCCTGTGTTCCATCTGGGTGAGAAGTCTTTAAGCTATAAAAATATTTATATTGTGCTCTCCCTTAAGATTACCAAGTCCACAGTTTTCGGAAAATTCTTCAGAAGAGACACTGCAGTTTCATGCTCCATGTGTAAGAAACTATGTCCGTTGGCCTGCAATGCAAGAATGAAGCACATGGTAAACAAAATGAACTGGGAGAGGTGTGGAAGAAAGGAGGAATGGAGGGGGGCAGGAACAGGCACGGCAGCACAGGAGGGCTGGGAGCAGGCCTAGCTCAAAGAGGATAAAGAGATATACACTGTGAGGGAGAGAAAAAAGAGAGAGATGCACACGGGAGATCATGCTGTAAAAGGAGAGAAGGTGGAAAGAAGCTGGTCTTTAACTCTGGATCTGTGGAAAGAGAAGGAGCTGCTTTCTGCAGACCATTCTAGTGGTGTAGACTGACAGCAACACATAAAACCAGAGACAACCCAATAACTTCCCATGAAGTTGTTTAGGCACACAGAGGCTGGATTGCCCCTGTATAAGTAAGGCAGCAATGCCAGGCTTTTTGCTTTTGGCAAAATATGTAGACAGATACTATCTGAACAGCAATTTATAGGCTTGGATGATGATGATGATTGCATGGCACTTTTTATGTGCTTTTATTTATTTTTTTGGAAATGTTCTACATAAAACGAATTATTACATTTTTATATACTCTATACATATCTTTATATATACTACGATTGAAAAGGTTTACTAGAATTCAGTAAGATTTATTTTAAATTCAAAATTAATTCAGTAAGGATGCATTAAACTGATCAAAAGTCACAGGAAAGACATTTACAGTGTTTTAAATGCTATTCTTTTGAACGTTCTATTAATCAAAGAAAAATTGATCACGGTTTCCATAAAAATACTAAGCAACATAACTGTTTTCAACACTGATAATAATAAGAAATAGGGTAACACTTTACAATATGTTACATGCATTAGCTAGATAAAATGAACTAACAATGGGCAATATATTTTCATGTAATCATTATGTTAATTAGTCAAATGTAATTCATTGTTTGTTCATGTTAGTTCACAGTGCATTAATTAATGTTACCCAATATAAATTTTGAATTTAAACATGTATCAGTAAATGTTGACATTAACATTGATTAATATTAATAAATGCTGTGCAAGTATTGTTTAACTAATGTTATAATAATAATAATAATAATATTTAATTAGTAATTTTTGGGAGGTGAAGGTATATATTTCACTACACTTTAAAAAGACCAGATTCAATCTGTATCGCAAAGTTAAATGTAAATTGAGATAGTTGGTGGTGTGGATTAGTCTGTTTGACTGATTTACATTGATTTTGTAATATATGATTAATAAAATTCATCAATTTATATTTTATAATGTCAAATATATTTCATGCCATTTAACTGACTTACCAGACAAAATGTTATAAAAATCTGTTTTTTAAAATCATAACAATAACGTATGTCAAAGTAGGTCAAACATAACAAAAGAGGTCCATGCTCACTTGTTTGAGACACAAACACACACGCACACTGGACATTTAATGGCACATGCAAAGCCCTCCACTGGCAGTGTGGCGGAAGATGCATTGTCGCAACTTGTGGGACAATGTGATGGAGAACAGTGTTACCTTCAGAATTTTGTCCCCTGGTCGAAGAACGTTGGAGGCAGGTCCATCAGGCTGTACCCTAGTAACAAAGATACCCTATAAGTCAAAAGTGATATGAGGTTAGGAACCACATGGTGACTATGGTTTAGAATCTTTGCCTTTTAATCTGAATTTAGATTTTCTTTTGTTTCTCTCTCTTTTTTCTAATAAATTCAAAGGCAATCTATTAAATAATTACCTTCATCTATAAAAGTATTACCTTTTACAAATAAATGCAAATGTTAAACTGAAAAACAAATGTAAAAAGATGAATTTATTTTTAATTTTAGAGTTTTGTCAGTGACACTGTTTTTGTGCTGGAATCAAGGCAGAGATTATAAAGCATAAAGATTAAAATTACATGTGGGACCCATCAGTATGTGCCATGTCAACACATATCAAGTCTTATTATTGGCGCCACATGTTGAGAGTCCACCAAACTTTACATCATTTCTTCAGGGCTCACAGGGATTCGGCTTGTTAGAAGAACCCCAAAGCAACAATACACAACACAAGCAGTCTTTATGCTATGCTGAAAACCTTATGGGGAAAAAAGAACAACACTTTTTCATGCAAATCTAAACAGTATGATATTAATACACATTCCTAACATACAGCTACACATGAAATGGAAACATGGTCTTTTTCCTTGTGCTTTAGCAACATGAGTCACAAAACACTTTTGTTTTAACTATCGCCAAATGTTGCCAAGACATGAAAAGGTTAAAAGGTAATACAGTCAGCTGGTGTGCAAGGTTGTGCATTGCAGTAGCGCATGTTTCCATGGTAACTCTACTGAGAGACACACTTTACTAACTGAAGAGAGATGGCTTTGATTTTGTTCTATATAAAGCATCATTCTAATGTGATTTCTGAGAATGAAATGCTGAAATTAGCATATTACATTATGCTCTGTCCTTTAAAACCGAGAGTGAAATGGTCTTACCATGTCCGAGGGCTTGAAGGGGTTCCCCTGTCCACTGATTCCCCCTGAGATGCTGAAACCAAGGCCAGGGTTCTTCTCGATCCTCACACAGAGCTGTCAACAAAATAAAAGAGAATTTCAGGTTTAAGGTTATGTCTACATTCATCTGGACGCATTTGAAAATGCATCTCTATCTGCGTTTTGGCCTTCCATCCACATTAAGACATTTGTAGACACTGCAGCTTTTTGAAACACTCTTAAAGTAATAAATTAAGTGGATAAATTTGAAAATGCCATTTTCGTGTTGTAGTGTCGACTGTGAAAATGGAGGTATTTGAAAACTGATGTTTAGTCTTTTGACGCATAGTGGACTCAAAGATATCTATGGTTATACAAGCATTGCTACAGAATAACAAAGGTAATTGCACATTTTTATCTCACAATTCAGTCACTTTATTTTAAGGTCCAATTCTCACCATTAGCAAACCATTAACTAATGACTTTTGCCTCAAAAAACTCCTAATTTGCTGATTATTAAACAGTGTGCACTTTAAAAGTACAAATAAACAGCCAATAAGTTAATAATTTAAACTCACAATTCTGAGAAGAAAATTGTCAGAAAATGGTCAGAATTGAGATAAAAAGTCAGCTACCTCATGGCAGAAACAAACAAACAAAACAGAACTGTGAGATATAAACTTAGAAAAAAATAGAAAAATTGTGAGAAAAAGGTCAGAATTTAGATTTTAGATCTCATAATTCTGATGTTTTTTTTATTCTCAGAATTGGGGAAAACAACATCCAAATTGTGAAAAGTCACAATTTACCCTTACAGGTAAACCGATCATAATCTGCCATTTTTGTCTGACATACAAACCAGACCGGAGAGTAGATTAATGTTGGTGGACTTGAACTTCAAAAATGGTGTGTACTGACATCTTTCTGCAGTTGAAACAAGATACCTTCTGATGTTCATTCATGTTTATTTCAAGACTATAATTAGTAAAGAAGAAGAGATGAACAGTTCACGAGCCGCTTTAACTGAGGCGCTATAGCACGACACATCTGTCACGACACATTAAAGAGCCACAAAACCGTATTTATTGTTTTAATTTCTTAAAAAAAAGACAAAATTTGAAACTGAGACTTTGAATTTGAATTTGAGACCAGAAGTAGCCTGCTCTGTTTTGTCTGTTAGCGTGTTGTCAGTTTTCTCTTTGCTCCACAATGTATTTTTCACTGCGTGAGAACATAATGTGTGGGATAGACATAGCAACAGTAACGAAGGGGGGCAGGTCTTTGCAAAGAGTCAATTACCTTTTTATTTCTTTATTCTGTGGCAGAAAAGGGCTTCCAGGGTTTTTCCACGGCTGAAATAAAATACCTTCTGATCATAGGCGAAGGGTGAACCGACTCCAGGGTAAGGCTAAAATTTGCCTAATGTTAGTGTAATCTATGAACACGCACATCATATCCTCGTCTCTTCAAGAATCGACTAAAAACACATCTTTATTTAACCCTCTAACGCTAGCACTCTCTATACTAATTCTGTTCTTTAAAAAAAACTTGCCTTTTTGACTTGCACTCTATTAATTTACTAACTGCCTGTTGGTTACGTATGTAACCCTCGTTACCTGAAGGAGGGAACGGAGACGTCACGTCGTGACTGCCGAATTGGGATCTCGCTTCGAGAGACCAATCTACTTCGAGTGTAAACTAAACGAGCCAATGCACATTGGCATGCGATGATTGCATCGAGCTACCGCTGATGACAGCGTGAGCATAAATAGGCAGCAGGTGCAACATATATTAGGTTTTCGCTGAGGAGCCGAGCAGGTAAACCGGTCGCCCAGCGGTGGTACAGCAGCCGTGGTGACGGGACATGACATCTCCGTTCCCTCCTTCAGGGAACGAGGGTTACATACGTAACCAAGACATTCCCTTTCAGTCGGTCACTACGTGTCACGTCGTGATGAAGCCAGCGAGACGCGCCGGGTAGCGCTAGCCAGGCATCCCAGATACCATGCAAGCGGGACTAGCGGAACCACCGCCGTACCCACAGCGAGGTGGAACGCATGGACCCGGTTCGGGCAGCTCGTGGGTGGACCGAAGAGGGGTCTGAGTGTGCGGTGCAACGCTTACCTGGTTCCACAGCTGGGCAGAGGAATGCGTGAGTAGGGCCTTTGATGATGCTCTCGAACCACCCGTTGCTGCCCACTGGTGACAGAGGAGGATGAGTGTGGTCCGGTTTTGGTCCGTCTGTGACTCTCTGTGCCCTCTTGGGACCCAGAGATTGAGGAAACTGCTCTTTTGTCGAGAATTTGGGTGCCATTGAATGCGAGGCCGATGGCAGAACAAAACTAAACAAAAGATTCTCCACCCGGCCTTCCTCCGGGGAAGGGAGTGGTGCGTTCACCATCTCCCGAAGAGCAACTTCCTCCATCCCTGGGTCGCCCATCTCAGGGCCGCTTGCTCTTCCGCTTACCACCAGGTTTGATGGGGGCCTGGATGGGCGGGGCGGCCGCCCTCAGCAAATGAGCAGGCTGGGGCGCTGCGGCCGGGTGGAGGCAGCAGCTGCCCGCTGGGGCAGGATGTGATGAATCACCTCAGTCTGCTTCTGCACAGCCGAGAACTGCTGGGCAAAGCTCTCGACCTCGTCGCAGAAGAGTCTGGGACACAGGGGCATTGAGGAACCGATCTCTGTTGGCATCCCTCATGTTGGCCAGTCACAGCCAGAGAATGGCATTCCTTGTGGCATTCACAAGTGTGGACATCGCACGACCCAGAGAACTCGTGGTGACCTTTGTCGCTCGGAGCGCGAGGTCAGTTGCAGTTCAGAGCTCTTTCAGAACTTCCAGATTGCGACCACCCTTGTGTAGGTCCTTCAGTGCTTTGGCCTGATGAACCTGCAGTAACGCCATAGCATGTAAGGCAGAAACAGCTTGTCCACAAGCCGTATAAGCACTGCCGGTCAGACCAGACAAGTGCCTACAGGCCCGGGATGGGAGCGACGGGTTTCCCCACCAGGAGGAGACGGTATTAGGACACAACTGCATCGCTACTGACTGCTCCACTGGGGGGATCCCCGTATACTCCTTAGCTGCACCACCGTCGAGAGTGGTGAGGGGGGAAGAACTAGCAGGCTGCTTTCTGGCAGTAAAAGATGCCATCCACGACCTGGTAAGCTCCTCATGCCCCTCCGGGAAGAAAGGCATCAGGGCAGGGCGCTGAGAACCAGTGCGCGCCACCCCAAGAAACCATTCGTCCAAAATTGGTGGAGGTTTCCACTCGAGCTGTACCCTCTCGACGGCCCGGGAAAGCATTTCTGGATCCGATTCAGGCATTGGCACCGTCTTGGAGGGTGGCTGCGCAGCCGAATATTCCTCTCCAGAAAGCTCCCCCTCCGATGCAGTGATCGACATCTGGTCGTCGGGAGGAGCGCCGAAGGATACCACTGGAACGTTCTTTGAAGAAGGCCTGGCACGTTCCTTCGGCAGCTCGACTGGCTGCAGAGCGCAAGAGGAGCGATGGTCTCCTGAGGGTTTGCCACCACTGTAAACGAGCTAGATCGTGGCAGAGGCATCGGAACGCCGCCCCTTTTGAGGTAACGGAGCCTGGTCCGCAGCTCTGAGATGGTCAACTTCCCGCAATGGGAACATGAGTCATCCACGAAAGCCACCTCAGTGTGCTTAATGCCCAGACACGTGAGGCAGCAATTGTGCGCCACCAGGTAACGACCGCATCCAGAAACGCACGGGTGAAACGGCATCTTTAAGTGGTGGAAAGGGTACTAAGAAATTGTACTTAAGTAAAAGTATTGCTACTTAAGGAATAATTTACTTGAGTACAAGTAAAAGTACTGAAAAATAATATAACTCAAGTAAGAGTAAAAAAGTAGTTTGCTGAAAAACTATTCAAGTTACTGCATTACAAAGTACTTTAGTATTATTTTTCTATTTTTACCCAAAATGAGATGATGTGAGTATTATGGGGCAGGGTTAACCCTAACAACTCATGTACTGTAATGTCTGTTTCACACATAGACTGTATAAAAAAATGGACGTAGTGTCCGTGACGTCACCTGTAGTTTTCCGAAGAGCATTTTTCAAGCTCAAAGTGGGTGGAGACGGCCGTCGCCATCTTGGCAGCGCGTCACCGTGCATCACTCCCGGATAATCGAAAATGGGCAAAGAGGCGGGAGCTGGTTGCTGAAACCACGCCCACCTAGCTCGAAGGTGGTGACAGCAGCTGCAATCCACCTGTCACTCAAGTGGCCACGCCCTTAATTATGCAGAACTTTAAGGCTTAATATAATTTAAACGGATGAGTTATAAAAAAAATTCACCCCCCTCACAGTTGTCATGAAGGGCAAAATTAGCTATATAGACCAAAATAATTTTTTGAACCAGGCTGTAAACATGTTTTTTTCTGCTGTAAAGTTGGACATTTTAACATGCGGAGTCTATGGGATTGACTCCCTTTTGCAGCCAGCCTCTAGCGGCCAGTTGATGAATTACAGTTTAAGTCACTTCTGTGTTGGGTTCACGAGAGAGAGCGGGAGGTGGCCGCTTGGTTTCACAAGTGAGACACAGGAAATCCCTTATATGGACAAATGCATCGGATATCACTACAGCTGAATAACATGCAAATAGAGACGCTTTGACTGATGATACGTGGAAGACAATAAACACAATTGCAATGCAATGCTAATTGACATAGCTTGTATCACAGTATAGAATTTTATAAAAAATATTTTCTGTCTGTGATGAGAAGCAACATGGAACCACAGAAGCTAACTGTTTCAAACACAACTGATGTTATATCGTGATTTTGGAGCAAAACATGATATTAGTCTCATAAATTGTCATGTTTGAAGCTATGTTAAGCAAACATACTACCTATCCCTGTTGCGAGAAGCAACTGTTTTATAACTAATTTTGAAAAGTACATTCACGTATAAGATTATGTGGTTGTTTTTTTTAAGAAGGGCAAAAGCAAAGAAGGGTAAGTGAAGGTTTAAATTAAAAGAAAGCGTTTAAAACGGTATAAATAGAAAGGTGCCAGTAAAAAATAATGTGGGGTATCGTTTGAATTTTAATTATTCCAATTCTTGTGAATTCCTCATTTCAATTCCAATAAGGTAATAAATAAATGAATGAATAAATAAAAAATCTTAGATATCATCTTATTACAAAAGATTTCATAGTTATCTGAATACTATGAATGAAGATCAACAGGCTAAAAAACACTTACACAAGGATGTGTGTGCAGCAGAGAAAACAGCCCTTGAGTCTTCTTGTCTTGAAAGGTTTAAAATCACATTGAAAGTGTAGTTTGTTATAATAACAAAGGTGGACTCCAGGTACATTTTCGGTAGGACAAAAAAAAGAACATTTTATTTAACATGTTAACCCATACCTAGGCTTGGGAATCCAACATCTATTCCAATTCTGGAATAGGATGCTTAAGGTCAGGAATCGTCTACTTGTTATAAAATTTAATTTTTGATTCCTCTTATAGATTCCTTTGTGCGCATTTTAATATGACTTTAAACCATTCAAGCACAAGAAGACTCGTGCACTGTTTTCTGTACTGGACACATAGGGGTATAGCCATCATTTCAGAAATGAGGGGGACAGAAATGTAAAAAAAAAAAAAGAAGAATGACTTTTGTCTAATTGACAGGCATTTTTTCTTATGTCTTTTAATTGTCTAAGAAATCAAATACACTGCTGGGCGATAACCAATCATTTGTATTCTATATTAATTTTTTCTGTATTTTGCTAATGACAATTTTAGAATTGGTTTATACAAACACAAGGCAGAATAGTTTATATACTGTAATAAATTTTATGTAAATTAGCACTGCATTATTCGTTTACTATTTATTACCTGGAAATGACCTTAAATGACCTTTATTCAAGCTACAGCTATAGCGGGATGCCTTTGTCCATATTAGGGATTTCCTGCACGTCATAAGTTATTATATATTACTTCTACTAGGCCATTTTGGACTTTCTGTGCGAGAGCGCCCTCCGGCTTTGAGTATGAAATAAACATGCACTACATGTTCACATCATCTCATTTTGGATATGAATAAATTGTCCGGTCATACATAGACTATCTAGTTAATATAAAACATGGTTGATCTTTCAGCCAGATGCACGTAAAAATGCATGCGCTCTTATTTCAATGTTGTTGTTAATGTTGAGGTTATTTTAGCTTCGTACATTTAGTTTAACTGCACTGTTATAGAGGGCCATTTTTACCATTCAACTGAACTGTGTGCATGTATTTTAGACACTTACATTGTTCTTGTTCCGTCCATGCAATAATTCTATCAACCGAGTTTTCTATTTACTTATACTGCTGTGTGCTCTGGTAATAATAATGGTATGACCCATTTCAGGAGCTGACAAAATTACGATTTAAAATCAGAGCATAGCTCACATTCACTAAAATATTGAAAGCTATGCTGATTCAAAATGACAACTCCGGTGATTGACAGTCAAAGCAAAGCGCGGTTTGAACGCCCCACCCCCGCAGCGGGACTGGAAGTTTTAATTGGTTTTGCACCCGAATCAAACCTGTCTGTTATTGGCTGAAGCGCAGGGCTCCACCCCAGGAGTTTGAAAAGTGCCCGTCAAACGCCAGCTCGCTGTTTCTTAGTGATGGGAAGTTCGGATCATTTTACCGACTCGAACCTTTGAGTCTCGTTCAGCAAAATGAACAAATCTTTTTTCGAGTCATTTCGTTAATTTTAGCAAAATATAATTAAAATGTTACGTGTTACTTCCCTAATACATCTACTACTTATGCAAACGTTGATCACACTACAAACAATACAAAACTGCTATAAGAAACAGAAAAGATTAATTCATTGTTTACCTGGGTCTTCAGTCTATGATTAGCTCACCTCACCTCTTATCTGACAAGTCTTCGGGTTTGAGTCGTGCGTTCATCATGTGACCGATGCAGTCTGAGCCGGAAAGAGAATTGATTAGTTCATCTCTCGAGTCTTTCGAATCATTCGTTCTTTTGTCACGTGACGTGACAACATTGGATAGAGAAATTAGTTAATTTACAAGGTTCCTTACAAATGGGTGCATAGTTATTATTATTATTATTATTATCATCTTTATTATAATTATTATTTACTCTTACAGTTACGTGATGCGTTTCTGGTCTCAAATTGTAGCTTTTTACTTCTTACAGTTTATAAATGTGTGAATTTCTGTCATTATAGTTCTTTTCCATAACACTGACTGTTGTAACAAAGAAAATAAAGAGTTGGTTATTATTATTAAGTCTCTTTCTGGCTCAGACTGCATAGGGTAAGCTTATGGGTCTGTCACGTGATGAACGATCGACTCGAAAAACCCGAAGACTCGAGAGATGAACTAATCAATTCTCTTTCCGGCTCAGACTGCATTGGTTAAAGCTTATGGGTCTGTCACGTGATGAACGATCGACTCGAAAAACCCGAAGACTCGAGAGATGAACTAATCAATTCTCTTTCCGGCTCAGACTGCATTGGTTAAAGCTTATGGGTCTGTCACGTGATGAATGAATGACTCGAAAAACCCGAAGACTCGAAACAGGTGAACTACTTGACTAATTCCAGTACAGAATCTATAGGATGTTGCGGTTGCGCGACTGAACGAATCACTCCCCGAGATGACTCGTTCTTCCCGAGTCACATTAAAGATTTGTTCAAAATGAACGAATTGTTCAAGAACGACCCAACACTACTGTTTCTCCATCTGCACCTTCTTTGTCTATTTTTTTTTGTACTTAAAAAAAATATATATATAGCGAAGTTGAATACTTTAGTTTTATTTTACTCAAGTAAAAGTACCACAATTTAATTATACTCAAGAAAGTTGTAAAAATGTACTCAAGTACTGTAACGAAAGTATTTGTAATTAGTTACTTTCCACCTCTAATCTTTAAAAAGACGATCCATCATCTTTACAAAGACGCACCCGTGTAACTCTTTTAGAGAAATAAGCTCTTTCAGGTGCTGAGATGCAAAGGGGAGATTGCTGCTTGCAGCACGTCAGGGGGTTGTGCAGCCTGAAGTGTGCAACCCACTCGACACAGAAACAACCACTGCTGAAGCGCCATCCGCTAACACAAAAGCTCCCTCAGGGCGCGTTGAACTCGTTGTCACACGAAGGTTGTTTGCAGGAGCAGAATGATGTTGTCACTCGGCTCCGAAGCAAAAAGCTGGTATGTGTTTCACCTGCTGCCTATTTATGCTCACGCTGTCATCAGCGGCAGCTGGATGCAATCATCGCATGCCAATGTGCATTGGCTCGTTTAGTTTACACTCGAAGTAGATTGGTCTCTCGAAGCAAGATCCCAATTCGAAAGGGAACTAACACTAGCTTCTCTAATCTTTTTGTATTCTATCCGTTTTCTTTTTATTTATTATATAATAAAAAAAACCTTGCTATGTGTACTGCGCTATGCTAACTGAGTCTTATTATAGCACTTGCATATCATTGCTCTTTTGTTGATTTAGATTGCTTCCATTGTCCTCATTAGTAAGTCGCTTTGGATAAAAGCGTCTGCTAAATGACTAAATGTAAATGTATTGTAAATGTCTTTTAGGCAAGCACATATGGTACGTACCCACTGAATAAAAATAAAACATGGTAATTGCGACTTTTTATCTCACAATTTTTACTCTTTCTCTCAATTGCGAGTTTATATCTCATAGCTAATTCTGACTATTAATTTTTTTTTTATTCAGTGGCAGAAAAAGGCTTCCATAAGTGCCAGATATGGGTGTCATGTCACAAAATATTACATAAAAAATATTACAGTATAATACGACTGAATTTGTATATAACGTGATCATCATTTAATAAAAACATTTTAAGTTATTAATTCTAACACTTTAATTTCCACATTTATTCAAACACCACATAAATTAGGGCCTATATACAAAAAGCAAACAAAGAACATGACTGACTTCAGTCTAGCGTGAGTTTAAGCACGCTCAAAAAAGTCCCCCGTTATTATCAATAAAGCTGCCTACAATGTCAAATGAACCTCTTACTTGCATCGTACGCAAGTACATTTCCACTTTGTTGTTTATGATGAGAGAATTCGCGAGAGTTTAGAATTCAGTCAGCGTGCGCGCGCTCAACACATCTCGCCGTTTCAGCGATGACTCATCTGAATGCCTCTGATTGGCCATTGCATTCATAAGCTCAACAGAATCATGTGTGATTTGTTATAATGCAGACCGCTGTAAAAACGCATAATTTGATGCATTATTAGCAGATCTAAATTTAATGCCGCAATTGACACTTTTCATTTAGTTTTCACTTTATTCGTGACATCCTTAATATAGTTTAATTGTACGGGGGCATATTTGTCCAGTTTGGTGGCATTTTTGCCCCAAGCCCCCGTTAATTTCAGACCCGTGGCCATACATGTCGGACATAGCAAAAGTAACTTAGGGGGTGGGTCTTTGTGAAGGTTCAGTTGGTCTTCTTTCTTGCATCCATTTGCAACTGTCCATTTCTTGCCATTTTATTTGAATTTATTCTGAGAGATGACCTGTACCTGCTCTGGAAAGCCATCCATACTCTTCTGGCCTTTAGTCTGGATGAAGCAGCGGGCACTCTGAGGCCGGGGGCTGGTGGTGGTGATGGGCATGGGCAGAGGTGACTGGTACTGCTGGATGGACACCTTGTTGATGGCCCCCTCATACTGCTGGTCACGGGCTGTCCGGTGGGGAGGGTTGGCTGAGGTTATCATCATAGTCTGTTGTTGATGATGATTGTGAACACCAGGCTGTGGGCAAACATTAGGCAAACCTTTAATGATGCAGTGTAGACTTCATACAGATGGCAAACCTTCATATCATTACAGGCACAAAGACATGTATTAGTTACACAGGACCTTATGACATTTTGATTTCCCTATTTGATGTATTAATTTAATTAGAATTTTCTTCATAACACTAAATGTGCCAGCAGAAGCAAAATGTTCCACAATACTGAGTGACAACCTAAAGACATTCACCGATAGACTGAGGTTGCTAAGGAGACCGAGCAAGAACATGCGTTGTGAAATGAATCACGACAGCAGGTAGTAATTAACCCTGGCATTTGAAAAAATTAACATGGCAATCACGATATAACAGAGATGTCTATCTCACAGAGAACAGGTTAAGCCAGAGGAAACTAAAGAGTAGAACATGACAGGGTTTAATACTTAGAGACATGTGGGTGTCTCTCTAAAAAATGCATTGTGGAAATAATAAAACTACAATGAGATCCAGACTAATGCAATGAATCATTTCAGTGCAAGCACGGCTTATGGAGAAAAAAAACAGGATCATACCAGAGGTGAGAAAGTTTTAGCATTATTCCTAACAATTTATCTTATTATCTGAGACCAGGTAGAGATAATTTTGCAGGACTTTTATAAAAAAAAAAAATTTAATTTTGAGTTGTGTGTATGTATAAAAGCTGAATCAGAAATTATTATAATTAACTGATTTAAAAAGCATTTTTATATAAGTGTTGAAGATAATTGTGCTGCTTAATATTATATATAAAAGCTACAAAAAAAATTGATCAATTTAATGCATCTTTGCTGAATAGAAGTATTATCTTTTTAAAAATATTTTACAGGCCCCAATTTTTATTATTATTTATTTATTTTTACTAGAACAATTGAACACATGAAATACATCAAACTTACACTTCAGTGATAATTTGAGTAAATCACATAATAAATTATGAATCGATTCACTGAAATAAAAATGATGATGCAGTCTTTAGGAAACTTGATGGCCAAATAAAAATATATATATTAAAATGTTTTAATCTTTACAGTGTTTTAATATTTACAATTATCATGAATATATTCAATTTACCGCCCAGCCTTAGTACATCCTGTATCGAAAACAGAATTGATCATAATCAATACCTTTTTGATGACATTCATGTTCTCTGGAGGCACGTCTCTTCGTCCCAGTGAATACGGGGCCCACTGGCTACTTGGAGAAACCACCTCTTGTCCATTATCTAAAATATTGCTCTGTAGTGAAGGTGTCTGAAAGGATATAGTGCTGTCAGCAAGCAGAATTCAAGACGGTGCTCTAGAATGACACTGCTTTTGCAAAATGAAAAGGCATTTTGCATGGTCAAATTACCAATTTTGCGAGTCGGTTCTAGGCCTGTTGCACAAATCTGGTTTCAGTGACTATACCACTGAAGTTTTTTCATCGCTCAAGAAGGTGAACTGGCTTTTAGCATTGTTCATTGCAATGGTAACACTAAACGGCTAATTATTTATTAGTTATTTTATTTAAATTATATATTATTTATATTATATCCTTAATGCATTATGCAAAAACAATTAGATTTTGACAATAAATATTAAACTTTTAATATAATTTAACATAAGTAAAAACATTAGAATGAATAAAGCTTTTAAAATGACTAAGCTTGTGTGTTTTCTTTTAATCTTTTTATGGAATAAATTCAGTTGATTCACTTCCATTGATACATTCAAATATTTTCTTTAAGCTTTCTTTAATTTCTTTCAGTCTTGTAAATGCATTTAAATTAAAAAAAATTTTCACAACAATCTCTTACCCAGAATTGATCAACTCTGGACAATCCCTGAGTTGACAGAAAACATTTTTAGCAAGTATTGTGAGCCCGCTGAACTTGATCTAAACCAGGTGTTTTTTGTTTTGTTTTTGTCAACTCTAAACCTACTTAGAGTTTGTTCAAATAACTTAATTAAACAAGCACAGCCCACTGTAATTGACCCAATTACACAACCATTGCAATTCAGACACTTTAAAATGCTGAAATAATACTTAACTACACAGTATATCTGCATATATGTCTAGTTAAAACGATCTTCCAATATGTGATCATTATTTGATGAAGAAAAATTATAACAATTCTACACAAAATCTGTTTAAATATTCATTGCCGTTAATTGCATCAAAGAAATATTGAGCTTATTTGAAGAAAAAATACTTTAAAACTATAACAAACTAATTGAAACTTATTTACAAAAAAGGATGTTTGCATTAAAAGAAATTACAAATACTCAGTGCTAATTCAGCACCTGGTAAGACTCGATTTTGTGTAGTTCACTATCCTCTATTCTCTTACAGTATTCACCAAACACCCGTTGGTGAATAAGTAAATAAAGGTTGGTGAACTGTGCACACAGATATTAAGAATAATATTTAGTGAATTCACTTCTGACTGTTTAAATATGAGTGATTCAATTTGATATTTGGTGTAATTTTAAAAGGATCAAGAAGGCCTTTCATAAACGCATCTCTACTGTCGGTCACAGATTGCTTTGTTCTGTGAGTTCAAGACAGAGGAAGACTGTAGTGCATAGACCAAACACAAAGACTGAGCACATGCAACAGAAAACACCTATATATGTTTAACATCACAGTGAGAGACAGTGTCTAGCCTGGAACTCAGAACAGGTGAAGTGTTAGATTAGTGTTAAACTGTGAAATGTGTTAGATGGTCTGCCTTATAAAATGGCTATTGTAGTGTATATGTTATATTACCACTGTTTTAGAAGTTAAAGCAGAAGCCGCTCAAAAGAGAGAGATCTAAAAAGAAATCTTCATAGGAGATGTTATGTTCATATACGTTTTACTTCTTCATGCTGAAACTGGGGCTGAAGTTACTTCATACTCACATTTGGTAGAGGTAGCCACTGAGTTGTTTGGTTTTCATGCTTTGTGTTATTGTAAAAGTTTATTGTCATGCTTCTGCTGGCATGCGGTGCAGCATAGCCTCCAGAGTACAGCATGCCGAAGTTTACTGTGTTGTGCTTAAGGACAGCGCTCTGATTGGAGGGAAACAACCACATGACATGAGTGAATGGGTGTGCCACACAAAAAGGTCAAAAGGCTGTGGCTGGGGATACACTGGACTGCACATTGCTGTAACAGAGTGAGTAAGCTTGACAAACAGAACAACAACAGAATGTCATTACTGCCCATGTGACACATTAGTGATACACAGCGGTTACGTTTACAGAATATTAATAGCAGCAGTGTAGGACTAAATTGCGTGAACAATGAAGTGTGCTGTAGTACTGTAATCCACTTACACAGAAACAAAGGCATGTAACTGGGTGAATCTCAGGAAAGAAATGTCAGGGTCAATTTCCACCCCAATTAAAAATAAAAATATATATATTTTGCGGAAAGAATTTGAAGCAATTTGAGGATTTCTGGCATTGTGACTATTATTTTCGTGTCAATGAATTTTCCTTCGTAATTATCATTACCGTAAAAGTGAGAAAAATTACTTTAATGTGGAAAAAACCCTCATTATGATAATGTGAAAAAATACTATTTTTTTACTCTTAAATATAATGTTTTTTGAGAAAGGGGGGAGTTTGATTACATTTTATGAAAACGATGCCAACATTTTATGAAAATAATCATAAAAAATTATAATGAAAAAAAACAAAAAAACAAAACTGTATTGGTCCTAAGAAAAAGCTTAATTATTTTAGGCAGAATATAATTTTCTTTTATTTTCTTTTGATTTTGGGGTGAAATATGTCCCAGACATTTCTTGATAGTTCACATGAGATTGACCCCACTGTTCATGTGTCTAAAAAGCCTTCATTTAAGTTTTGTGTACTCCAAACATATTATATAAAACATTGAAAACATTGGTTATTGAGATCTCAACAATTATATAAGACTAAAATAAAGACAGAATAAAAGAACCAAATAATGGTTTAATTTATTTCTTGAAAATGTTGAGCGGTTATATAAAATCCAAGCTAACAAACACTTACAGTACGTAGAAGAACAAAAAGCAAAGCTTGCTTACTCACCCGGTCTAGCCTCTTTGCTTCAATGTGTCTAAGCAGCTGCTGTCTCCAATCTACTGGCATTTTGGAGGTCGGGTCCTCTTGTTTTTGAGGGACAGGTCTCATCTTCATGTCAGCTTCAGGGCTCTTCTCAGTGCATGTAATAAGATTGTAATCTGAAGGCAATTTCTCCAGCAGTGCAGCCATGGTGGGTCGGGCAGACACTGGCCTTGCCTGAGATGCCCCATATGTCTCTGTGCTGTAGCTCCGTGCAGACAGGGGGCGACGTTGTGTCAGACTCTTGGTGGGGTAACCCATGATGGGCTTTGTGGGTTCTTGATAAGACGAGTAATCTTCGTCATACCTACCATTCCTCTTGTGGAACTGGGTGTCAGTGATGGTAGCCAAGCTGTTCTGTTGTTCCAGCATGCTCTGTTGAGACCTGTTGTAGTGCTCTGCCAGCTGCAGTTCTTGGTTCTCAGCTACTCTGCGGAACAGCGCCATCTCTGTCGAACTTACCAGAGAGTCAGCGCGCCTCAGGAAGCCTGGCCTGGAGCGCTGGGGCTGGACCAAGTGTTGTGGATTGATGGCATCATCGGTGACTGCAGTCTGAGCAAATGAAAACATCTGTTCCATCGGTGGATAGCCTCGGTAGCCTCTTGGACTCACAAGTTCCTTTGCCAACGTCTTCCCAGGTTGGTTTACATATTCCGGGGCATTGGGGAATGGTGGAGGAACTCTCCTCTCCGCTTTCATAATATCCATGGCTCTTTGTGGGTTGAAGCTTTGGTCAAAATGGTAAACTTTCTTTGGGATGGCAGGCTTCTGTTGCTGAGAGCTTTTCGAACCAAAGCCATCCAGATCATCGTCCAGCATTGGAGCAGATTGGCTCCTAGACATGCTCTGTTCTAGAGGTACATGGAGGTCCGCTCTATCAACACTTCCCTGGTTTTCTATGCTAGAGCTGTAGCTGTCTAAGGGGATGCTGTAAACCTTGTACGACCCCATATCGATTTCATCTATGCTCTGAGATTTCTTAAATTTCGCTTTTACCTCCTTCATCATTGGCGAAAGTCTTTCAGAACTCTTGCTAACAACCAAAGTGCCTACTTTGTTCAGTTCTTTTACACCCTGGACATGCGCAGAAATGTTGGGATGACCTCTTCCCATCCCTGAGTCTGTAGAGTTCAGAAACCCCCAGGCTCTATTTGAGGGAAAAGTGCCGGGTAGTTCCCCCATCTCCTGTTCGAAGTCCTTACGATCAGGATTGGGGCTGTTGGCTGGAGTAATTTCCAACTTGGAAGGGAAAGCTGTCCTGTCCTCAAAGGGACTGGGAGTCCTCGTCCAGTTCTGCCAGGGGTTAGAGGGAGGAGGCACTTCAGTTTCAGGGGTGGTGCGAACAGTGTGGAAAGTGAGTTGCGACTGATCGAGCTCTAAAGGAACTCCCACAATGCGCTCTTGTCTCATGAGAGGCCGCCGGCCATGTGCCATTGAGGCACTCCGGGGCTTTGAGCCTAGCATGGGGTTTCCAGCGCTGCTGCTCGGAGTGTCAAGAGACGTCTCCTCTGCAACAAAACCTGTGTTATCGTAGTGGGGGGCATCGTTCCAGCTGTCGAAGGTGTCGCTCAGTGGCCGCCTCTCACCTCGTTGCTGCAGCGTGCTGGAAGGAGGTGTTTCCCTCTGGCTCAGAAGGGGCTTACTTTCAATGGGCTTTGGAAAAGACTGAGCCAGCCTGTTGAAGTATTCAGACAAAATACATTTGAGATTTTATCAGTGCACATAGAAAAAAATGTGTATGGCCAGGGGCTGATATGACAAGCATATTCAGTATCATAAAATTCTAATGTATATATGAATTGATTAAAAAAAAACATTAAATACAATTCATAAATGCAATGACTTGAATACACGGCTTCTATGATTCGTTTATATATACATATTCAGTGTGGTGCATTTAAAAGAACAACCGGAAGCCCCTGTAGACCCTTAAGTCAAGGTCAATAAGCCTCTTATAATATAAAAAATTTACTTTACGTGCATACTTTACAAGTAAAGCACTGCAATCTTAGCAAATGTCTAATTCCTTGTTCATTCCTTCTTGGGACTGAATCTGCAACATCTGAGTACAGCCCAATTTCATTAGGTTATCACTACCCCGACAGAACCTTTTATTTTAGCTGATGCTCCCAAAATCTTTCTACTTGATGTCTTCATGTAATGTTGGAGATGAAATATTGAAAATTAAATTTAACTGGGCCTACAACTCTTTTAATATAGTCTAATTTACGTTTATATTGAAAATATTTTGCCTATGTAATACTTCTGCAAGGTTATCAAAACAGAAATCTCTCAAAGAGCTCTTCTGAAGAACAGGCAGTGGAAGGAGTGATAATTTGAAGTTTTTCAGCAGTACTAATATTATAAAACTTATTGAATATTGAAATCAACAGAGATGAATTTTCAGCTGCACTTTACTCAAGATAACAGCAAGAGTGAGGCATACTGCTGTGCGTGACTTTGAGCGAAAGAGAAATTGTGATGCTCAATAACACCCAAAAACACCCTCAGACCCCCAGAGGGTTAAAAGAAACAAATGCCCAGATAAGGCTCACTTAGAACCGTCAATTTTCTTGTTAATTAAAATGGACAGAAATATGAAATTTAAAATGAAAACCTTCAATATCATAAAAAGGCAAATAAGAGACACCCCTACAAAGGCACAGATTTGCAACCTTCTGTATAGCACTGAACACCAAATATTAAATGCAGTTCTGTGTTTCATGAATATTGCCAGTTAATGAAAACAATATGCAAGGGATGGCTTGAATAAATTTGGATTATTGCCAGAGATGATTATTGCAAGACTATTCCAGTGACGCAATGTCAGTTTTGGGCCACCCAAAAGTCAGTGAGCTGGATATCTAAACTGTTTGATCAACTGTCATGTCATATGAGCGCACAGATGGTCTGTTAGTTCATATAAATGAATAGTGGCAGTGATTAAATTCTTGCCAACCTGTTGGTCCAGTGAGTCTGTGATGGCCCCTCTTTCCCAGATGTTTGCAGATTACTGACATTTCCAGGTGGGTTGGAGGAGCCAGATGATCCCTGGGAGGGTGAGTAGTCTGAATAAGTGGCAGATGATCCGCTGTTATTCAAACAATGCATTTTGTCTGGCTCAGACTCATCGGTGGACTCTGAGAATGCATAAAAAAAAAGATAATAGGCATACAAGGTAAAATAGTTTATATGCATGAAAAATGACTGTATTCTTGTCTAAAATAAACCTCAATTATTATGCTTCTCACAATAAATGTGATTTCCAGTATTCTCCAGTGCAATCACACAATGCATTTTAGGATTTGCTGAAGGATTTCTTAATAAAATAACTTTATTAATAAACATCAAAAGAGAATGAGGGAAAAAAATTGTGAGTTTAATGTCGTGATGAAAAGGAAGAAGCTGCAAGTCATTTCTTCTGTATTGTGACACATCTGAGTGAAACAGATTATTTAAAAAAAATTGTAGGTCAAGGACTTGATTTTATCTATTAGTTGTTGATTGGATGCAGGCAGATATGAATGTGTGCTTGCAACCAATTGTAAGGAGTTTTAGCAGACTAAATAATTGGAGAAGTCTGGAATAGGTCACCAAAGAGACCATTTCAGAAGATCAAGTTATGATATATATATATATATATATATATATATATATATAAATGAGGTCAAAGAATGAATTCCTCACAATAAGATTAACAACATTCATTTAAAAAATAGATTTCATGCTGACTTTGTAACTTATACAGGCTGCTTTGTCTTACCAACCTTTTTTTTCCTTGCCCAGTAACACAACCTTTGGTTTGTACATTGCTGGCTCTACCAAAGTCGGCCGCATGTCAGAAATTCGGATATCATTAGGGGAGCCTCCCATGGAGTCCTGGAAACACAAGTGTCAAATTCGCAGTGAACTAATAATATAAAGGAATGAAAAACACAAGGTGAGTGGGGTGTGGTTTCCCTGCAATCAAATTACAATCTTTCATTTAAAAAAACAAGATCGAGCAACACAAATTGGTTATACTAAAACTTATACTAAATTACATTTATAATCCAATTTTATGGTAACAATGTCAATAAATGCAAAGCAACATCCAATTATATTGAAAACTGTTGCTGTACTAACCGCAAACATTTTGGCTATGTGAAAATATGTTTGCCTAATTGCATATTATATAAAACTCTATTAGGCATTAAGACACATGACAGCATAACATTAAGAGATTCCAGTTTAAAAAAAAAAAAAAAAAAGGATCAGTAAACTAAAACATGAAATACCGCTGCAGAAACACAATGTAGCTAGTATTTAGATTCTGTCAAGCTTTTGCAGTATAGTGAAATGAGTCATTCATTTGAATATGCTTAAACAATTACGTTCTTATATTACAGTGACCGTTTCATGATTCTAAAATGCAAAAACTGGCCCAAAATGACAAAGCAGAAGCTGAGAAATATATTAGAAGTAACCGAGTGTGATCTCACACCTCAACATCAAGTTGAGATTCATCATTAGTAATATATAGACTGTTATGATTCACAGGCCTTGTCCTGGCTTGTCTGGTCAAATCCCCCAGGAGCAAATCAGTTGCTTCCAGCTCTCTCACAGCTGTCTATGGCAAAACTCACACCTCTCAGGCCTGACTGTACATCAGCAGGCTGGCTCACACAACCGGCAGCAGAGCAAGAGGAAAGTCACATATCAGAAGATTCTCTCAGAACAGCCGCCTCTCCCCTTCTCTGTCTTTCATCTTGTCGTTTTTTCTGCATTGCTCCCTCACAACAGGTCAAAAGAAATGTGACTGTTTAAATTGATGCGGCAAGCTAATGGGTCTCATACTTGTATTAAATGAATTGTGAACAAAATTCAGCATGGGGGCGATTTGATGCATGTTGTGCAGTGTTCGAATAATACCAAAGATTTTGGGGAGCCCAATATTTTGAATAAAAGAGCTTTAATACACTACCATTCTATATTTGGATTCAGTCAGATTTTTTTTTTTCTCAGAAAGGATACATTATGTTGACCAAAAGTGGCAGCTAAATTTCTTTTAGAAAATAATTTTTATAAAAAAATGTACATAGTATTATATATTTTTTATAAAAGTAAATGTATAATGTTGCAAAATATTTCAATAAATATTTGAAAATAAATGCTGTTTTGAACAGCAGCATTCATCAAAGAATTCTGAAAAAAAAAAAAATTAAGCAGCACAACTGTTTTCAACAGTGATAATAATAAAAAAAAATGTTTTTGAGCACCAAATCAGCATATTAGAATGATTTCTGAAGAACAATGTGACAATGAAGACTGAAGTAATAGCTGCTGGAAATGTAGCTTTGTCATCACAAGAAAAAACTGCATTTTAAAATATATTAAAATATTTAATTTTATATTAGTTATTTTATATTGTTTTAAATATTTCAAAATAGTACTGCCTTACTGTATTTTAGATTAAACAAATGCAGCCATTGCGCATTTGATTGTAAGAGACAGAAGAAAAAAATTCCCCTACAGGACAAAAAATGTTGTTTGCTTTCAAAAAATAACCAAATCTATAGATTCACAGAAATAAAGGGTTAACTGTGGTAACTGGAATTTCCCCCCCCACAGTATGTTCTGCTGACAAAGCATTGCGAGTAGTTATAATTTAGATTTATTAATACAAATTTTTGCTTTTATATTATTTCTTATTTATTGTTTAATATTTATGAATCTATTTTAAATTAGAATGTTTCTTTGAAATGTCATAGAGACAGCAATCTCTTGTTGTAATAAGACATTTACATGACACTTCAAGGCTGCTGGACAGTCTCCCCTTACCCTGAGTTTCGAGATGTCTGGGGGACTATGACGATAACGGTCTCGGTTCCGTCTAGCCCCCCTGTAATTCAAACACTGACTTCATTACTTCATTATGGGAAACAAACCCACGCAAGTATTTAACAAATGTTTCACCCACAATGGGGGAGTCTGAAAAAAAGAATTGAATTTGCTTTGAAGGCAGTTGAAATGAGCCACCCCATATGTTCAGCTGATTTCTGCTGTCTTGTCTCTCAGCCACTTACTATGAGGCAGAAACAGGAAGAGGAAGTAACGGCCAGGCTCGTATTCTCTGGCTGTTGCGGCTTGGGAACGACGCGATGTAAAGAAATCTAAGCAAAACAAACATACATACATATATACAAACAAACAAACAAAAATGGATTCTCATGGTCTAGAAAGAAAAGAATGTGTAAGATACATGAGGTTTATGGCACTGGTACTCCCGAGGTCCCAATAACCCTGATAATATTAGGAATATTTGTAGCTCCACAGTTTGGCCGGGGGGTCTCTGAGACCATTGGGGGAAACAGTGTGAGGCCAAGCTGCGATGGACACAATACACCATGCACTTGTATGCTATTCTAAACAAACAGCTACTGCAAGCATAGAAAAGCCTGGCATCAATGAATGAATTATGAACGTAGCTGTGTTTGCATAATTCCTTGAGATTTATTATAGCTTACTCAAATCATCTTAGCATTCCTGAATTCAATTACTATTTTCATATAGGAACCTTTAATGGATCCTCTGAGTGTTCTTGACATTTCACGCTGACCTTTAGTTCTGTTTACTAAAAGATTTCCAGCTGTTTTCGGAGTAGTGCTACAGGATATAAAACTGAAGTAAAACACTGCAGGTCTAGATTTCTAGTAAATAAATGATTGTAGGATATTTTAAAAGCGAGTTACTAAAAAATGAAGCATACTACAAGGTTACTGTGACATTCACTACTAATTGCCCCAGCTCTCTCTAATATTCATAGGCAAAGTTAATGACTTTTTCTGTGTACTAAACAACACTGCAGCTCTGGCGGTTGGGGAGGGGGGTTGCTGGCTGTGAGAGATGAAACATTTGCACTGATCTTTGTGTATTTTATCTCCGCAGGTTCAGCTAACCTTTAACAAACACTCTCAGCACTATTCAACACTCTCTATACACGCAACCGATCTGACTCAGACACCGAGGATGCAAATACCAGGCCTTCAAAAACAAAGAAACTACTGCCTGAATTTCATTACACACTCTCATCCTTTTGTTTTAAAACTATTGACTTTGGAAATCCCTTACTGTATGTGTTTTGAGCTTAAAATAAGCCGCAACCCTGATATAATACTGTGCAAAAATATTTTAAAAGGATAAAGACATATAGCATTTAAATAGAAAACTTGAAATTATTAAAAGAGAAAAGTCATACTTCTGAGCTCTCGGTCAGATCCTCTTTGTCTTTGCGTTTTGGGATGTCAATGGCTGAGTTGAGGATGACACCTTGTTCGGACATTGGTGGTTTCGAAAAGTCTTTGACCTCACGTTCTGTCACCTACAGAGAACACACACTAATCTACAAGTGGCTCATGCATCAATGACTAAATAAACCGTGACTCCAAAGTGATGGATATTCAAGCAGTAAGTCATGAGAGGCTGTGCATTACAGTCATTGTTCATTTTACTGTGTGTAATCACCGTAACACATTGCCTCGGATTGTTTTTATAAAACTGCAGCAACGGCAATATAATATGACCAAATGACTAAATGTAAATGTAATATAAGACACATATGTTCAATTAATATTATATTATTATAATATAATAAATATAATATGATTTAATTTTATATAGGCTATATATATATATATATACAGTGGGTACGGAAAGTATTCAGACCCCCTTAAATTTTTCACTCTTTGTTATATTGCAGCCATTTGCTAAAATCATTTAAGTTAATTTTTTTCCCTCATTAATGTACACACAGCACCCCATATTGACAGAAAAACACAGAATTGTTGACCAGAGGTGTTTGTGTTACACATCATAGAAGACAATGTTAGCATCCGTTAATTTTAATTGTTGGAGAAAACTGGTTCATTTTAAGCTTTTTCGCGCTATTTTCATCTTCCAGGTTTAAAATCTACATCATGTTGGCTTCACAATTTGTGACGTGGCAAAGGACTACAGTACATCGTTGACACGTCGGTGTCTCATAATTATTCATATATATCTCATAATATACTCATAGGATAAGAACACGCTTCGCTTAATTATTCACAACAGCATGTGTTGATTTGCTATGACAGACGCTTCAGACTGTGAGACCATGTACATTAACTGAGAGAAGTGTTCATGGATCGAAGGAGAGTGTTTGTTTTTGCTTTGTAATAAGAGTTCGGCACAAACGTGATTAATTCACTTATATTAGTGAGTGTAACTGTTTTTACAGCTCCTTGACGCAACACGTCAAAAAGGGCTTATATAAACACAGCAGAATAAGCCTTTAAAGTTATCAGAGGTGCAACAGTGTTTCACCTTCATATCACCTTCATATTAGGGATGCACCGATATGAAAATTTTGGCAGATACCGATAACTGATTATTCTTTATTTTTGAAAGCCGATAACCGATATGTTGGCCGATAAATCTATATCCAAATTGTTATATACTTTTTGAGAGCCTGATTACAAAAAAGGTCTCATCATTAAAAGCCACATCCCAAACACTTCAACATAAGCAGCCTAGTTTGAACGGTGTACGTTTTAAAAATATTTTTACTCTCCCATTACCAAATTTAGTCATAAAAAAGCCTTACAAATAAATAAAATTATGCATAAATAATGCAAACAAGTCACTGGACATCATTACACATGTAAAGAATCAAAATGAATGCGCCACAGATCAATAAAACGGAATAGCCTCTGCACGGACAATAATTAAATGATTTTAATTACTAAACCATATTGTTGATGAAAATAATAAGAGAAAAATACAAGTGGTTGTTGTTATTAATAATATATCAATGATTTTGAAAAAGTAACAAATTAATACCACTGTTTTAAATAGCAGCCATTGAGCTGCAGCTCAAGCTGAAGCTGAAGAGCTGAATGAACACGGTAAACTGAAGCGTTTTGCTGGCAGCTTATTTAACTCAAGGAAATGCATCCTGAGATTAATATTAATACAACATAAACATAATATTACAACTTATATATGAAATGACAAATGACGCAGTTATTGCATGCTATAGTCAGAATGTGTGATCCTGTTGTGGATGCGCTCTTCCCATAACAACGCGCTGAAACACGGCAACTAAACCCAAAGAATTCACAACGTTTTATTATAATAATGTTCTCATTAGAATGTTATATACACAACATTCCCAATCATAGTTATTAATGTTGTGCACTGCTGTTTGAGCTGCGTGCGCTGCGCTAAAGACGATCACCGGTAAACTGAAGCGCTCTTTTAACTTAACCAAACGCATTCTATATGAGATAAATCAGATATACATCAAATAAACACAATATTACAACGTACAATTGCACAAAAGGCTGCAAATGAACAGCGCGCATCTGAAGTGTCTCTGAAGGAAATAATGCATTATTTATCGGCTTTAAGATATCGGCCAAATTTTCTTATCAGGCCGATACCGATAGCAGAAAAAATTAGCATTTATCGGCCGATACTGATATGGTGGCCGATATATCGTGCATCCCTACTTCATATATATGTTTTCGATGCAGAGTGCAAATGGCTGTACATTTATTTGTGTTTTAACTTGATGGGAGCTAAATGAAACTGAAGTTGTCTGTCTCTCCTCTTCCCGCTCCACTCCACAGTCCACACTGTCCGCACTAGTGCACCATGCCCACTTTTTTAGCATTTTTTAAAACTGTGGTGAGAACTAACCAGTGCTAAAACAGGGGGTTTCATGACCCTTTAATATTCTATTTAATAATTATATTTTGATATATATGTAATACAATAAATGATTAATTATCATTAAATTGATGTATTATCATCATTATTATGTTAAAATTATTGCAATAAACTAAAATGTATATATATAAAAAAAATTGAAGATACACTATGTAACGTTTTTCTTTGTTTAAAATCAACAAATTGATATAATGAGCAAGTACATCATGAATCCATCTTCCAAAACGTGTTTTTTTCTTTTTTCTTTTACTATGGTATGACTATAATATTCAAATATTATTGCGTGACTAGTCATATACATAAACAGAGAAGTAGCTCCGACTACATGCAATTTTGTTTATTAACCACTAGAACCCCAAAAGTTACATAGTGTACCTTTAGCACCCATAAACAACTTTAAGATCCCTGGACCCTTGTTTAAAATCCTCAACAGCTTCAAATGGCTCGCCCAATCAAAATTCAGAGTCTGATCTATCCTTTTTATAAAAAAAAGAAGCACTTTGTAGCCAAATTGCAGAGACATTGATTTATGAGCCCAAGTAGGCACTGTGACAAAATAAGACAAAGAAGCATTACCTCCTTAGGAGCAATGGGCCACTTGGGCTCATACTTGTCTTGGCTGTGGAGCTCCATATTGGTCCCAGAAGAACATTTTTCAGTGTTGAGGGGGTGAGTGGTTTTACCCACCAGGTTCTGCACTGACTTCACCATATTCTTTAGGTCTTCTGGGTAAGGGGTGGGATAGCGCTTCAGATTAATCTCAACCTGCAGATAGAGGGAAGAGGATTTAGCCCATATGGCAAAGATATGACCTTTTCTGATGCTTAAAGTTTTTTTTTTTTCATAAATCCCAGCTAACCAAACACAGCAGTGGTCCTGGTTACATCTGATATTAATATCTGTGATCAGATCACCAGAGATGGATGTTAATACCAGGTAAATACAGGGCCAAAAAGGTTCGCATTTTCAATTCTTAAAGGGACCTTCACTTTTCCTGAGTTGTCCTCTTCTTCCTTCTTGTCCTCAAACTCAAATGCCACCGTCATCCTCTGCTGTCTCTGTTCCTCCCAGAGAGTGGGATTAAAGCTGTCACTGTCAGACTGGTAATCTGCAGCAGGGAAACACACATCCATCCAGAAGTTTAAATCCAGTGAAATGTAAAATCAAAGGAAAGAGAAACGGTTGATTTATTCTTACCCTCATCGTGCCGGGGCTGCTGAGGAAACATGTAGTTGGTAAGAACTCTCTGTTTGGTCTCAGGGTGAGCCTCTGTTTGAAGGGGGATAAGGGCCTTGGACTGAATAACAAAAAGAATTGTTGTAAATACAACTACCAAATCAAATGTATTAAATTGCAGTATGTATTTTGACCACTTTTAACCACATTTCACAAATAATTAAATACAGTGGCCCTTTTAAAGTATTTGGATACATAAAAAAAAAACATTACAAATGTGTGAACATCACGGAATTGCATCATAAAAATAACTCCAAGTGACATTTGGTTAAAAGTACAGTAATTGTAAAGAAATAGTTAAATAGATTTAAAATGCCATTTGGTTTGATATTTTACATTAAGTACTTTATTTGTCCAAACCCTAACTGGGGCAACTGTACATTGTAGAAACTATTGGAATTTTAATGGTAAAAGATGGTAAAACTGCTTTGTAATAAACGGTTAACTGGTTAATGTTAAATTGCCTTACTATTTACGATGAAAACTATAATAAATCTAACAGGACATTTAATGTACTATAATTTAACAGTAAAATACTTATTTGAATACAAAATTATGTTTTTGGAAGTTAAACAGTGGAAAAAGTCATCCTATTATCATATTTTATATATATATATATCTATATATATATATATATATATATATATCAGTTAATAAAATATAAAAAAAATTCTGTAAATTTAAGTTAAATCTGTAAAACCTAAAATGATGCTACCATATTTTTTACAGTAAAGTTCTGGCAACTACAGCTGCCAATTTTTTATTTTTTTGTAAATTTCACAGATTTTTTTTTACTCTGTATTAACTGTTCATGCAATGTGGTTAAAACGTGCTCCAAATACTATATAGTTATATACTTTGTACACAATTTAAAAAGGAGGTCCAGATAACAACCTGATTGTCAGATAACCAGAGTGCAGCAAGATCTTTCAATTTAGTGAAAGTGAAGGGAAGATTCTTTAACCTAAAACAGAACATAATTAGTTCATGAGAATTCAAAAAGGCAAAACATGGATGGTAAAAACCAAATGAGACTGTTGGAGAGAGTTACTCCGTGTAGTTAAAATGCTATGAAGCCCTTTTGTTGAGTCTGTTCACTTCAGAAACCTCATTAACTCAGGTACTCTAATGGCTATGCCACGTTTAGTCTTGGTTAAGTTTAATTACTCTACTTCCAGATAATCGCAGTCAGAGCATCAAAACTGTCCGCACAGCTCATAAAGAGCTTTCTTAATTAGCCCGTGGCAAGGCCAGGCACTCTTCTGATATCATGCCCCATTACTGTGCCATTATGGAAAATAATCAACACCATCCTCACCGCTTTACATGAACCAATCAAGACTGTTCATCAAATCTATAAGAGATTTGAAGAAGCACTTTCTTTAAGCAAATAATGTGTCTCATCTTTTATTCATTAAACAATTTTGATCACGTGTTGGTGTGAATGTAGACAAATGCGTGCACAGGGTGTAAAATGAAAAAAAGGAACATCAGGTGTTACCTATTGTCACTTAGATTGAGAACACGTAGCTTTGTCATCTGTCCAATTTCATCAGGCAGAAACTCTATTTTATTGGAGCGCAAGGACATGACCGTAACATTCCTGCAGTTTCCAATCTGCAACACAGAACAGGATATGATAGCTCTGGTGAAGTGCAATTTTGTCAGCTTTTTTTGTTAAATATCAGCATCTTTCTCTCAGGTAAAATTACTCTTGTATTCTGTCAATACAGCAAGTGGCGAGTGAAGGTCAACAGGACATTACCATGCATTTGGTTTAACGGATTTAAGCTGTCCTGATTTTAGCCACTTCAGTGGATCTCAAAATGTGGGAGCCAAAAATGTATATACTGTATTATATTTAATTTAAGATTTATCTGCAAGTTTAATATAGCTTTGTGTTGCACAGCAAACACTGTTACTTTTGGATATTGGGCAGAAAATATATTACTGTTTGAAAGGTGTTTTTTTTTAACAAAGTAATACTTTTATTCCCAGCATAGATACATTACATCGATCAAAAGTGAGTAAAGACATTTATATTACAAAACATTTTTATTTCAGATAAATGCTGTTTTTCTGTCACAGAATCCAGAAAAAAGACGCATCATGGTTTCCACAAAAACTATTTACAGTGGGGAAAAAAAGTATTTAGTCAGCCACCAATTGTGCAAGTTCTCCCACTTAAAAAGATGAGAGAGGCCTGTAATTTTCATCATAGGTATACCTCAACTATGAGAGACAAAATGAGAAAAAAAATCCAAAAAAAAACATTGTAGGATTTTTAAAGAATTTATTTGCAAATTATGGTGGAAAATAAGTATTTGGTCAATAACAAAATTTCATCTCAATACTTCGTTATATACCCTTTGCTGGCAATGACAGAGGTCAGACGTTTTCTATAAGTCTTCACAAGGTTTTCACACACTGTTGCTGG